ATTTGCTAGCCATATAATAGGGAAGGGCTATGCAAGCTTGAAAACTGCAAATTCCAATGCATTTGTTTAGAGTGTGGGAACAATTTGCAAAGCCCAGATAATTGACATTATTCCTTAAGTAATGTAGTTATGTTTTTTTTTTTTTTTTTTTTTTTTTTTTTTTTTTTTTTTTTAACCCCTATTATCCCAAATGTCCTTAAATATTTATTCCTAAGCAATTATGTCATTATTAATGACATTCGGTTTCAGAATTAAGCATGGATTTGATTTACAACATCAGGGTGCAAGATCTTTTATACCATCTGAGTATCTCAGCTTGGTGTGTATACCCAGTCACAAAGAGGATCATGAACTACTGGGCTTTCACTGGGAAAGTCTCGTATTATATGATAAGGTTTTCACTTGGGTTGTCCAGTTCTTTTGCTAACTTTTGAAGATCTTTCTTTGGTCTTATAATGGATTGGTAAAGTCAATGGACATTTTCTCTGAATTACTTGTGTTGGATAAAAAGACTTCATGGGCATCTACAAAGCTAGTATTTCTTAAATTGAATTTGACAAGTGGTAATGGAAAATCCAATATGTTGCTACCTGAGAAATTGGAGAAAAATAAAGCTACATTTGCAAAGAAATTTAAACAAACAGTTTGTATCTTAATACGGTGGTTATTTGAACATATACCATGTATAAAGGTTACATCAAAACACATGCATCTCCACAGCTGATTCTTGGGTAATGGTTATTGTTTGTTAAAAAAAATAATAATAAAAAAAAAAAGAATATAGAAAATTATATGGATCTTGCAAAAAAAAAAAAAAAAAAAAAAAAAAAAAAAAAAGAAGGCAATATTACCCTCATGAATTATTCCCAATTGTTTTGGCTGTTGAATTATGGGACTTATTTAAAGAATTCATTTGTCATATTCCAATCTGATAGTACAGCTGTTTATTGCATATTGTAAACTTAACAAACACCAGAAAATTCATTTTTTTAAAGAAGATTATTGTTGGTTCTTTACAATATTTTGGGTAAAGAGTGCTTGTGGATATTTAAGATTACAAATCTATATTTTTCAACTCTCCAAACACAGCCCGTATTTCTTTTTAGATTCCGCTTTAGCTCTTATTGCAAAGTAAGTGTACGGGCATGCTCTAAATTGTTTTAAGGGTTTCATTCAGGGTGATCAATAGACCAAGTGCATTAAAGTGGTCTCCTTGGGACAGGTTTATATGTCTTATGTCTTACCTGTACCTATTCAGTTTAGGAAAATCAGCTAGCTCTATATCACTTGGCAGCATGGATATACTATTTTTAAATGCGAAACACCCCCGATTTCTTGAATCGTTTGTTAATCAGTAAAATGTTAAGTGGAGCAAAAAAGTTTGCTAGGTCAGTTGATGCGTGCAGCCTATTACTTTTAATATTCGAAATTAAAAAAAAAAAAAATAGTGACAATACCATAGATAGCCAATTCTTAGTAACGGACATGTTGCTACAGGGTTATGTTCCTTTTTGTAATTTATCTTTGCTGAGAGGAAGGGAAATCGCGGTTCATTCAGACTCAAACCCATATTTGCTGCTTTGAGGAAATATACCTTTTCAGGCACGACAACAAGGGAGTTTAAAGGAGTCTTACAATGAATCAACTTTCAATACAATTTAGGTAAAATAAAAGTCTATCTAGAAATAAAATCCCAACCCAATTGCAGTAGGTGAAATTAGCTGCAAAGGACCCCTTTTTGCTACAGCAACACCCTGGCACATTTTTTAGTGTTTTTAAGACTCACAAAATGAGATATGGGATGGTTGCAACTGGTGTCATTCCAGAGAACATTAAGGTTCCTATTTTCCCGCCTATTAGTACATATATGTTTTCATTTAGGGTGGTAGAAAGTCCGATTGTAAAGGATAAATGGTTGAGAAAGTATCCCTTATTCTGTATTATTTGAATGTATTAAATACCTAGATAGAGGATTCTGTCTGAGGCGGTATCCTCTATTTTTCTGCATCTTTTTTTAAAATTTAATTGTTAATACTATAACCTCATAAAAGCGTCAATTTCATGCTTTAAATATCATAATAATGCATGAGAAAGCTTAACATTGCATAGTTTATCTACCTTCACTTTATACTACACTTACATACAGGTACACAAAGTATTCGGTGACTGTCTGAGGCGGCACTGAATACATTCGTTGTTGAGTATCATATCGAGAATTGTATTAATATTTCATATCATTTTGAATTATTTAAATGCTTTTGTCAAGATATGCAACTATTCTATTCCTGGTACGTACGTTAATGACTTTCTCGAGTTGTGTATGAATTTATCTGCCTTCACTTTATACTAATATACACTTGCATACAGGTACATGAAGTATTCGGTGACTGTCTGAGGCGGCACTGAATATATATTCGTTGTTGAGTATCATATCGAGGATTGTATTAATATTTCATATCATTTTGAATTATTTAAATGCTTTTGTCAAGATATGCAATAATTCTATTCCTGGTACGTACGTTAATGACTTTCGAGTTGTGTATGAATTTATCTGTCTTCACTTTATAAACTTACATACATGTACACGAAGTATTCGGTGACTGTCTTAGGCGGCACTGAATATATTCGTTGTTGGGTATCATATCGAGGATTGTATAAATAGTTTATATCTCTTTGAATTATTTACATGTTTTTGTCAAGATATGCAATAATTCTATTCCTGGTTGGTACGTTAATGACTTTCGATTATGTATTTATTTTATTTTAGTTAATATTTTTATTATCCATCCTTAGAATTCCATTGATCTATGTTGTGAATAGTTTTGTTAGTATTTACATCGTTATCAAGCTGTATACATTAAGTAATTGAAGCACATTTTTGGGTGGGGCGAGGGACCCTTCTCTGTACGTTCATTGTCCCTCTTGTGGGATGTTTTTGGGCCCCACCTTCTGCTGCATTCTGATATTGTAAAATCTGTAATCTCATTTGGCATTTGTAATAAATGCTCTATACACACACACACCCTCTTTATTATTTAACATGCTGCAGAACAGAGCTGCAAATGTGCTTCAGGTTCACATGAACCGAATTGTTCATCAGTTTCAGTATTTAAGAGCACATAAGTGTATTTATGTATATAAAGGAATTTATGTGATCTAAATACGTAATAAATTGCATATTTTTATTAATTACCAATTTGTTTGAATTCATGGGTCCCGAAGGGTTTTCCGGGTTTTATACTTAAGCGTCCTCTAGTAACGGCTATTAGCCTTATCCTTATCAGAATAACATTTCGGCTCCAAAATGTGGTTTACAAATTTTACCCACCACCACCCCTTCAATCCTCCATAATTATTGTTATTGTAGAAAATACATGTACTAGTTTCTTTTATATAAGGTGCCTATTGTTATTGCATGACTTTTGTTATTGTAGAAAATAGATGTACTAGTTTCTTTTGTTTAAGGTACTTATTGTTAATTTTGTAGAAAATATATGTACTAGTTTTCTTTTGTATAAGGTGTGGGATGTTTTTGGGCCCCACCTTCTGCTGCATTCTGATATTGTAAAATCTGTAATCTCATTTGGCATTTGTAATAAATGCTCTATACACACACACACCCTCTTTATTATTTAACATGCTGCAGAACAGAGCTGCAAATGTGCTTCAGGTTCACATGAACCGAATTGTTCATCAGTTTCAGTATTTAAGAGCACATAAAAACAAAAAATGGAAATGGATTCAATTTCGACCAGTTTCTTGACACCCAACACCCACAGCCGTCTCTTTTTTAACCCGACGTGGTAGCCCCCACCCTCTTTACATGCAGCGCAGCGCCTATTCTCTGGAATTATATTTCCTACGAAAAATGATGTTTTCTTCTTCAAAATGTTTAGCTTGGTATACAATTTAGGTGTATATAGTCATTTTTTAAGTTGACGATACACTATCAGTTCAAACAAATATAGCAAAATACTAAATAAGTTTTGTTTCAGATTTACGTTCCGAATGATAACGTGCATTACACTTACCACTATGCAATATTAACCAGTTGCTAAAAATGGAAACATTCGAACATTAAGCCACAATTCTAGTTGTGAATAAATTATGTAAATTCAATTTTCAAATCACACTGATGCACAAGATATTGAGTAAATAATGTTCACCTTTGCATGTGCACTTCCATTTGCATTTTCTGCACTCTTGTTACAAAAAATGTCATTGTGTGTAAGGCAATTTTACCCATAGGAAACAGTGTAGTTCTCTTACTTTTAAATTTGTGAATAAATACTAACACGTCAATATCGACGATTTTTTTAACCATTGGACTCGTAAGGAAAGAGGGGACTATTTTTAATGAATACAGATAAACAGTGTCTTTTTTACCATTCCATGCAATGGAAGAGGTGTTCATGATGTTAAAAACCTACAACTTAATCTCATTGAGTCAGTTCAGAAATTCTTCAAGTCCTTTTGAATTTCCAAATAGAAAAGTCATAATTTTGCGGTGACATTAAAATTTGATAAGTATATTAAAATTTTTAAAAACTGGTGACACTCATATGTGTGAAGGGTGTGATATTCAGAAAATATAACTCAAATGTATGACAATCTTACTAAGAAAAAGATATGTAAATGATTTAAAACTTCTTTTTGGTTTAAAATAAAAACAACACGATGATCGGCGACAGTAACGTAAATATCGATTTTCTCCTAAGACAATTATTGAAGTTACAACAAACAATTGTTGTATTTTAATCAACAAACAACAATGGTTCAAATGACTGGCAGAAAATAAAATTTATTAGAAATATTATATTACTTAAAACACGGTACATTATATCAACGTAAAAATTAATAAATTGATAGTGTTTTATATATAGTTACATATTAACGAAGCTTTCTAATGTAAGATAGATAAGTACCAGTAGCTTCTATTGATAAGATATGCATTTTAAGCAAGTGTCCTTGACATTTAACTTTTATTTCTATCAGATGGTCTTGGGTTTGAGATAAATGAGATCGGTATGGTGCTTGGTATAGCATTATTTCCCATGCTGGCTCTAAACCTGTTCATCTACCCACTTCTCAACAGGATATTTGGAACCAAAAAAGTATTAAATGAAAATGAATAGAACTGGATCACAAATAAAGAAGTAGCTCTGTATGCTTTTCAGATACAGTATGTGTTCAAGGCACACAGCACTGAATACAGTGAAATTTTCACCCCCGTTTTATTTTCGCCCCTTTTGCCCGAACTTGGTTGGGCAAATTGAAAAAGGGGTGAATTCACAGAATATAATATAATTTCTTAAACAAAACTGTGACTGGGCAATTTAAAATGGGGCAAAATTGTTTGCAAGGGTGAAAGGACAAAAATAAACCTGTATACAGTTTTTCTAAATTAATGCCATCTTTCTCTCCTGGAGTCCTTCTTTCTGTATGTTGACATCTTGATTTGTATTTTGTTCATGCTGTTTTAAAGAAAATGTATGTTTTTCTTTTTGCAGACGTTCATTATCTGAGGTTTTATCAATGGAGTTCTGATGACGGTAACACCAGTATTACATCTTTTGGAATCTAGGTTTGTAAACCACAGTACAGTTCATGTATTCCATAAAAATGAAATGTTTACTTTACAGTAAATCACTTTTTATTCGTGGGAACATTATTTTTGCTTAATTACGTAAGTATGTCTGCTTGCAAAAATTTTATTCTCGTATATAATTGTATTTTAAAACATTTTTGTGACGTTATCTTTTGTTAAACCTGGTTCAGTATATCTATTATTGTCCTGCACCCCGTGCAATAAGTTACCTGTACATGTAGGTGTCCAATAAGATTCAACTTATTGGATAGGTACAGGTAACATTCAAATGAAAACAAAGGACGAGGCAAATAAATAAACAGCACTTAAAAGACAATGACAAATCAAACAATTTAATATGAACAATGTAGGAAATTAGTAGCGTTAAATGTCAAAATATTTCACAAAAATCATATTAAAAATGGCACAAATAATCCACAGTGAATTGAATGTCTCACATTCATTTTCGTAGATGCATCCGTGGCTCCCATCATAAATTCCCTAAATTCACCGTTCATTAATTGCTATATATTAGATTTATTTCACAATGATTGATCCATGGAACGAATATAGAATCCAAGGGACACAAAAGATGAATGAGAAGCATGCGTTTTCTTGCACGCAACCTTGGGTTTTTTTGCTTATTTAAATATCCACTTTTTCCGCATTTAGCACAAAATTTCGCTCATGAAATTCCAACGGAAAACGTAGTTTCGTTCGGTGATTTATGACCATTTGTCTACCTAGTCCTGCGTTGTTTGAACGAGTGTCTGTCGTTGTTTTAAGGGATGGCTTGAGTAAAATCCTTCCGAGTTCGAAACCTGCACACAAAAGAGAAACCGTTGCATTAAAAAAAATACATCAGAAATAATCTCCTAATTTCATAGAAATGCTTAAACAGTAATTTGAGTAAAATCCTTCAAATCCTATTGCTTTACAAAAATTACCTGTTCACGGAAACTGTTTCTTGCAAATTCCAAAACATAAGAATATATGGTAGAAAACTTGAACTGAGGCATCTTGGTGTAATCGATAAATGGCATCGTCAAAACACCCAATTCTGAAGGTCTTTTTTTCCAAAATTAAAATGTACGTCGTCATCCGTGGTCGTTGCGTTGTTAAATGAATAAATTGTAAAGAATTTAGTAGAACTGACTTTTACGCATGCGTAGTATATATAAAAAATGTCGCAATGCGGATAAATAAGACTAATCAAAGTTAATGTTCATGTTTATCGATATAAAACACCTCTAGATGATTCCTACTAATTATAAAGACAGAAGGAAAACCAAAAGTAGTTTTCTTTGGCCTTACTTGATGAACAGTGCCAGGTAGTCATCCAAGCAGAACGAAACCTTACCTGTGACTGTCCAATAAGTTAACAATGGAAGTGTTCGACAGTGGTGAAATGTTTTAAGTAAGTTATAAGCCTCAAACTGACCATTATGTCAGATATTAGACTCTCCTCGGCGCTAATGCGCCTCGGGTCGTCTAATATCTGACATAATGGACAGTTTTCGGCTTATAACCATTACATAAAGGATGATATAAAACAGAAACCACAGCTCGCGAAAATGTTATTTTCTTAATAAATACCAAATAGTTCAACTGCGAAAATAAGGTGTCTCAAAAATAAAGTGATCTACAGTGCATGAAAAGTAGGACTTGATTAGATGTGTCAGCTTGTTGTGTTGTGGTTGAGTGAATTTGACCTCTCTTTTGTTTCAGTTCTTCATCTTTGCTATCGACAGTCCTACTGATTGAGATTATTCCACAGAAAATCATGACAAGTTGTTCTTTTCCTGCTACGTCCCTCTTTGTAAACAACTCGTCACCAGCCCACATGGCAGGATCTGTCAATGGTATAGCTATGACAGCCACAGCTATCGCAAGGTCAGTTCTTATATTATTTCTTTTAGTTATTAACAAGTTTTTAATCAATGTTTAATATTGAAGGTCTCAAAAAACTTTTTAAAATAATTCTGACAAAATTTATGTTATAATTATTGGAAATTGCCAAACTAACATGCAAAATATGAACTGTTTCATGCACATGCATTTAAATGAGTCTTTTAGCTTGCAAAATTATTGCACATGTACATGTACAATATAGTGATTCCATACTTATTTTCGATTTGATCAGAACCTTAGCACCAACAATTGGAGGCAGTGTGTTTGCCTGGTCCATAGGGAACGATCTTGGCGCACCGTTTGATGTCAACATCTCTTTCTTTATGTTCGAATTTATCCTTTGGCTGACTAGTGTCTACAGTTTGTTTATTCCAGAGTCCCTAAACAGAAAGAAGAAATAATCTACCTCAACACAGAGATAGAGAGGCTTATATCTGTACAACAGATAGTAAAATGTACAAGCAGGTGTTTTCAATGTCATTTTAAAAACCTGTCTATCTGGGTACATATCTAAAAAGTAGAATATTTTTTTGTTACGGCTTTACCATATATACATACATGTGTATGATCTGATTAATATATTTTAGATAAAATTGTTGTATGTGTTTATAGTACTTAATATAATTATTTTCATTGAAAATACTTATCACATAGTACAATTATTGTAGATAATGTACTTTAAAAGATTTTGTATAATTCATTGATGACTGCTTTATTTTTGTCATTCTTTTTTATATTCATAAGAATGACTGGGTTCTTATTGTTATTGAAGAGCAATTAATTTTTGTGGCTTATTTACACTTATAAGTGTTTTCTAATATCTCATTTTTGATATTAAGTTTGATCAGTTTAAAGATTGTAATATTATTGTAAATAATATGTTTTATGCACTCATTTATAATTTTACATTTCTGTGGTTAGAATGTAGTGTTTGTAATATATTTTTGTATATCACAGGTTTCAGAGTTAACAAATTTAGGTAATGCATAGGCTCGGGTTTCGGGGTTTTGCGGTAATTAGACGTTAGATATTGTCACAGATGTCACGTGATTGTTATCACTGTTAGATGCAGCAAGTGTTGGTACACGTTATTTTTTGTACGAAAAGCATACAATTTTAATGTCATTCCTGTAAACTGATTGTCCAGAATTGCGGTATTTACATGTACAACTATTGAAATGTATAATGTAGATACTTCATATTTGGCCAAAATGAAGGTTATGTTTTAAAGTCACATTTGTGGATCAAAGTTCATACAGTAAACCTTTTTTAGTACAATATACACTTATCCACTGGGTGTGAGTGGGATAGCTCTTTTATCAAACCCGCGACAGAGAACTATTCCCCGAGGGCTTGCCTGAGGGGAATAGTTCCTGTCAAGGGTTTGATAAAAGAGCTTTCCTACTCACAACCAGTGGATAAGCGTTTTATTATACTGATGTATAATATAATTTCTGAGGTTTGAATTTTTTGGAGTAAGATAATTCTGCAAGAATAATCTGAAATCCAGATGACGTCACAATGCAACTGAAGTCATTATGACATCATCAGTTTAAAGATTTATCGCTGGAAATCAAAATTGGCGGCAACAATTGCATGAAAATTTTCCGAGGGTGGATAGCAAAAACTATACCCCGGTGTATAGCTTTGCTATGCATGGACTATACAGGAAAGTTATTTTACCCTCTGAACTTTACATAGGAAACATTTTAACAGAAGTATAATAAATACCGGTACAGATATAGCCCATTTAAGGAAGGTTTTTTTTAATTCCGCCCCTTGTGATATTTTTATACAGTCAATCCTCTTGTTCAAAATGGGGCTATGAAAAAAAAATTAAAGATAATCTGAGGATTCAAGATATCTAGTCTAAAGTACCGGGTACCTAAAGAATAAGTAAATGGGGCTTCCATTTCACTTTGACATATTCATGGTATGCGAGATATCTGTGTTCGAGATATCAAAGTTCAACTGTAATTTTTTCCTACACTCTGTTAAAAGGCAGCTGTATTAAAATAATGGATATAGTATAACTGATTCTGGTTCTTGTAGAGGTTTAAATTTTAAAAAAAAATACATCTGTGACAAATTATTAAAAATTCAAAATTTGAGATATGAAGCTGACATTACTTTTCAGAAGTTTTTATGTTTGAAATTCAATTCATTTTAATTTTTTTTATCCTTAAAGTTTAGTATTACTTCCCAGAAAATTTTCAGTTGTCATACAATTACTCTTAGGGAAAACATGCATATATTTTTAAATGAATAAATTCATTTTAATACTAATAAATTACAGATATAGCAACAGGACCCAAGGACTTTCAATCATTATAACCGAGTTTTACTGTATATATTTTATACATAATATATTACATTAAAGTGCTGTAGACAAAGGAATATTTTATTAAATCTTTTGGCTCATCATAGTTATTATACATTCATTTATCAAACATCATATAAATGAAAACCTTCGAAAAATCCAATTCTATAGAAAGTATTTTTGCTTGTATTCTAATTTTTGTTGTAACTATTAATAGAACACAAAATGAATTGAGTTACAATTATAGCTGTTGTTTCATTTAAATATGAGTTTGATTTCTTGTCGTACATGTTTGTTGATCATCGCTATTTTTAACATTTTTAAACTTTAAAGTATTTCATCATAACAGTAACACAATAAGTCCATCCATCTCTGGTATCAAGAGATCTTGTGAATTTTCCCATGAGGGTGCGTTATACTTTTTATTTTTTTTATTTTTATGAACTACTTTTCATGACATTATTGATATTTAAGCAGATCCCAAACATTAATCCAAGATACCACATAGAAAAAAATGAATTAAAAAAAAATCCCTACTAAAATAGAAACTATTATAGTTATCAATATCTGACATTTTTGTAACTTTATTTTTTTGTGTGAAAATTTTTTTATCATTATTTTGTTGAAATGTGCTCACGCAGTTATGAGGGATTTTGTTAAAAAATTTTCTTCACGACGAGGCACAAATATATGCAAAGGAACTTTTTTTGGCCATATGTTGTTCATAGTTTGACACAATTTACTTCTAAATGATCTGCAGAAACAATTTTAATTTGTGTTTTAAAGGTTGTAAAATATGGCCATGTTTATTTCATAACCAAATACTGTAAACCAACTTTTTTTGGCTACCTTGAAATTTTCGCGCAGTTCATGACAGCCTTGTCATCATGAATATTTCTCGTCCCAAACCAGTTCTTTAAGTTTCTGTGTCTATTAACAACAGATAAAAAAAACCTTGATAGGGAAAATTAATCATTGCAAACTAGTCTCCCCTCCCCCATCGCGAAATAAAGTTGTTGCGAATAAAAGATGGTTACAGTATTAATTCAACAGCTAGTGTATGTTCTTGTATTTTATAGAAATTGGAGGTGGCATGAATAGTATATTCTATTCATCCTAGACAGGAAGACAGATTTTTGTTTAATTTTGATGATTTTTGAACAGAATTTTTTTTAAAAATGACATTCAAGCAAATCTTAAAAAGGAAGCTTAATTATTTATCAGTTTTGAGAGTTATCTATCTTATAGCCCAGATTCGTTTTGCTTTAAAAATAAAGAGGGTACAATAATTTTTATTCAATATTGCTAATATTTCTGATATGTTCATTATTAAAATATTTAATAAAATCTTGTGATGATTTTTTTTTCAAAAAGTTATTTTAACTCAGATAATAACTATAGTCAAATGATAAAAGTGCCTTTTTAGGAATGAAGTGGTCATAGTGGCTTGCTTCGTTAAATTTTAACCTTTAGAAATTCTGGGGAGAAAATCCACTATCCTCACATCAAAAGATATTGTGGTTCCCCAATTCTTGCCCAGTAACAAATTTTCTGAGTGCCACAGTTCAATGATTTTATTCAAAAATTGCTAGTCATTTGATTGGTGCTATAAGCCCTGTTTAATTGTATCTTGTTGAGAAAGTTTATGATTTTTAAAAATTAGACCTTGTAGAATCTTGTTTGTTTTTCTATCGATGCAAAATATGACACCTGGAATCCTTGACAAAGAAAACAGTTCAATTTTTTATTTTGTTATTATAAACTTAGAATATGTTTTATTTTAATCTAAACCACAGCAAATACCATAAAATACGAAGACACAATGTACATTTTATCAATGTAATATACAAATTCTTGTTTGTTTCTATTTTAATACATGTTAAGGTTAATATTTATTCAATGGTAATAAACTTTGTCAAATTTTTACCTGCTTTATACAATCTTTAATCCTTATACATGTATTTTGTTGTAAATAAACTAATTTTCTTTATTTGATACATGAATATAACCTAGTCTTTTTATTGTATTTTTTCACATGATCCATTCTATCTGAATTTCCATTTCCTTGTATCAAGATTTGTTTAAAGTGCCTATATTTATTTACTTGCTTAAAGTTGATGTGAAGAAAGCATGTAAGTGTTCAAATTATTCTAGACAGAAAATATTTCCGTATTTTCTGTTCTGACTATTTCATTCTTTGTATTATTTCAACATTGCGTATACTTACTGTAGTTTTAATGTTATTGCTAGAAGGCTTTTGGATTGGATCACTATTTTGGTATATAAACTTTTATATAAGGTTGTTTGTTTGAATGTTAACACAATCAGATGGTATGAGGTGCATTTGTTTTATTTTATAATTGAAATATTTAGTTTGATTTATATTTTATTAATAATATATTATTTTAAGAAATGCATGAATACATATTTTCTTTCAGGTTTTTGACAAAAAAAAAAAAAAAAAAAAAAAATATACATGTACTTCACTTTTATACGACGGCGTATTCGTGCCATTTTAACAATGTAGAAATTTTTCTTAAAATCGTTTGAACGATTTAATAAATCGTTTGTACGATTTAATAAATCGTTTGTACAATTTAATAAGTCGTTTGTATATAGTTGATCTTTCTATTTACCATATCAAATTTTCTTAACATCATGATTTGACATATTATTCATTTCTGAAAAGTAAATAACGCTTTATACTTCAAACTATTTTTCATTTGAATTTAATGCTATTGTTGTTGATGAGAATCAATGTTTGGAATTTTAAAATAAAAATCGTGAAATTTGGAGCAGAGGGATATTGCCCCTAAATGCTATTGTTGTCGATGAAAATGAATGTTTGGAATTAAAAAATAAAAATAGGTGAAATTTGGAGCAGAGGGATATTTCACCTTAAACGGGGTTGTTGAAATCCCTGTTTTAGTAACTTATGTGTGAGTAGTCTGCCTTGCTTTAAAAATTGATCACACCCGGAGCATGTTCTTGGGGAGCGACATGAATATAATTTGCAGGTGATAGCTACTCTAAACTGATAAATCGGTGTATCTGAATGTCGAGCTGAAGGCCAATTAAAGCAAGTGTTTTCTTCTCAAATTTCAAAGATAAACCTTACTTTTTATTTCTTTTTTTCCCGCACAATATTTTATTTTATCAGTCTGTCATTATTTACACAACGCATGAAGCGCTTTGTTAATGAAAA